ATTGAAAAACTCCATCTCTTAGCTATGAGTTTTTTTTTTTTTTTTTTTTCTTGTTTCCCTTATTACTGTCTTGAGTTTCCTTTCTGTGCTGTGATAAAATACTGACAAAAAAAGCAGCCTGGGATGGGGAGTATCATTTGTTTACACTTCCTGATCACAAGTCCATCATTGAGAGAAGTCCAGACAGGAACCTGGAGGCAGGAACTGAAGCATAGGCCATGGCGGAATACTACATATTGGCCTGCTCTCCATGGCTTGCTCATTCTGCCTTTTTATACAACCCAGGACCACTTGCCCAGGGATGGTACTACTCATAGTGGTCTGGACCCTCCTTCTGCATCAATTACCATCAAGCTAGTCTGATGGAGACCTTTTCTCAGCTGAGGCTCCCTCTCTCCAGATGACCATAGCTTGTGTTGACAGAAAAGCAAGCTAGTACAATTGTACTAGTTAAGAAAAGTTTTATTTCACTTCATTCCTGATTAAAGCAATGGTGTTTTTAATGTGACTACAGGTGCAAAAGAAGAGGAAAAACTCAAAGAAGACAGTGACACTGTTTCTCAGAGCAGTGTGCCTAAAACAGAGGCTAGTGAGGTAGGTTTGTCAGATTATGATTCTTGGCAGGTGGAGATGAAGTGAATGATGAGTGCTTTTAGTTTTACAATACATTAAATGTCTGTCAACAGTTTCACTGGCAGGTTGAATGGTTTTCATATTTTTGTTTTGGGTCATGTTTTTGTTGTTTAGCCTTTTTGGAGAGTTTTGGAGACAGTTTCTCACTATGTTGCCAGCCTCATTCCATAGTGCTAGATTACAACCTGCACTACAGTACCCAGTACTGTGGGCATAATTTTCTTTGGAAGTTTCCTTTTTGCTTGGTTTGGGATTATTTTTTGTTTGTTTTTAAAATAGGGTCTATGTGGCCCTGGATGTCCTGGAACTCACTGTGTAGACCTGACTGGCCTCCATCTCATAAAGATCTGCCTGCTTCCTGCTCCTGTTTGCTGGGGTTAAAGGTGTGTGCCACCACCATCCAGCAGCTATGGAAGATTCTTAAAGTTCTCTGTATTTAGTTTTCTTTGTTTTCATAGTTTTTTAACTGTTAATATTTTGCTTCACATCATGTAAAATTTGACCTTCCCCCAAGATTTATTTACTTTATGTGTGTGAGTGTTCATATACACATACATATGTGTTGTATGTATGTATGTATGTATTTATGCATGCACACTGTGACACTGTGTGTTTTTGTGGTGTCTGCAAGGGCCAGAAGAAGACATTAGATCCCCTGGAACTGGAGTTAAAGATGGTTGTAAGCTGACATTCTGTATTTGGAACTGAACCTGGGTTCTTTGAAAGAACAGCAAGTATTCTTAACTACTGAGCCATCTGTCCAGCTCCCACTTTTTTGAGACAGTATCTCATATAGCTGAGGCTAGCTTCAAGCTAGCTATGTTGTTGCCAAGGGCCTTGAACTGATTCGTGTGCCTCTGGTACCAGAGTGCTGTGATTACTGGTATGTGCCACCACATCCAGCCTAGGAGTTTTCTCTTTAGAAAGAATGAACAACCCAGGTATGCTGACACAAGCTTGTAATCAATTCCAGGCTTCAGAATTGCAAGGCTGAGGCAGAAGGATCTTGTGTTGAAGCCAGTCTGAGCCAGACAGATTTTTTTTTCCTCAACAAAGGACAAAAACTATAATAATTTTTCTCCTAGATCTCCTTTAAGCTTGCTGTTACATAAGTGAATTTAATACTCAACTCGGGTCCACAGCTGAACAGTATATCATTTTACAACTTGCTCCAGCTTTAGTAATTCCTTAAGGTGTTTGTTTTTACTGATTATAATACTCTAATTTGTGACTATAAGCTCTGGACATTTAGATTTTCACACAGTTGTAAATATCTTGACATAAATCTTAATTATAGGTGTCATGATTATTTAGTATTCATTTGTGTTTTCTTGGGGTCATAATTAAATAACCTGTAAAATTTGGGTTTATCTATTGAATCACATATCATTTCTAATCTTTCACACTTAATAGCATATCTTCTGTTTAATATCAGGTAGAGCTTCCTTATTCTGAATCATGTAATACTCTGCCTAACTTAGATATATTTACTCAACACTATATATGAGAAAGTAGGTTTTAGTTCTTTGAATTTTCCCACAGACTTCTGATGAGACCGTAAGAGATACCACCAAAATTCCAGTCAATAGGCCTGACACTGACAGAGAGAAACATACTGAGAAGCAGCAAGAGACGGAAGCCTCACAGGAGAAGCCAACCTTGACACCTGTCCAGGGAGATGGGGCCTCTTACTATACTCGAGTGGTGGGGAAGCCGGTGCTCACTGCTGTATCAGGCATCACGCGGCACCTGGCTAAGCGGCTCCCCCTGGAGGCATCCCAAAAAGGAGAGGTAGAAACCTCTGGAATTGGGGACTCAATACTGAA